AAATGTGGTAAAATAGGTATTCTGGTCTTCTGTTTGCCAGTGAGAAAGCTGAGGTTCTTCAAGAAGGACCCATCATTCAGTGGGCTCTTGATGGCTGAGCCCCAGGTCCTGTGTCAGGCAGGGGACTAGCTCCAGGCAGGAGCAGGACAGACCTCTAAGTCCGGCTCTGGCATTGGAAAAAGATGTTATGCTACTGGTCTCATCACAGTTAATTGTTTAATTGCAATTGTGGTAGCTTCTACAGAGGAGAAAGATTAGTGTGACTAATAACAGAAATAGTAATAGTGGAGTTCCATACAACAAGGGGCTTGTCTGGACCCCAGGGTCCCAGTCCTCTTCTGCTCTGCTGTTGCTTTCTCTGTGCACCTGTTTCTGCATCTGGAGCTTAACTTTGCACAGTATTTACTGACCAGTCCCTGTTCACAGCCCTAATAGGTTCTGCAGATTAAATAACCCCACGCCTTGAGCTGTATGTACATGGATTGGCCCATTAGGTGGTGACGAAAGCCGCCCTTGCTCCTGGTTCTAATGGAATAATTACTGTAAATAACCTGCATTTCCTCCTGAGTCTAGACTGACTTGCTAGTCAAATGGAGGTGAGAGCAGGTCTTCCTCTCATGGAAAGCTGCAGTAGAAACAGACTGCCCAGGTGGGTGATTGTCTCAGCAGGCGCTGAATTAAATGGGAGACACTTGTAAACTAGCCACATTGGTGGGAGAGGCACAGCTGAGAACTCCGAAGAAACAAGTCTGCAGGTGCCGATGAATTAGGACTGGGGGAATTTCCTTTCCCTACGCACTCTCTGTCATGGGTAAAATAGCGTTGCTACTCCGTTACACAATTCTCACCTCCTTCCAAGAGGAAGTACACCTTCTCTTTTAGGCTGCCATGTATCAAGCACATGATATCATTATATTGTACTAACTATTGGATCTTTTGCTCTTGGGAAGCCAGGTGTAATAGAGTAAACCACAATCACGAAGGTTGATGATTTTCCCAAGGTCATGTACTAGTGAGGTGTAGTCAGGATTTGAATCCAGACCTATCAGACTGCAAAATTCGAGGTTGTTTTGTGGGTTTTTGTTTGTTTGTTTTTGCATCATCATTGAGGACACATGGCATAGGGCAAAGGAGTTGCTTTGACTCCACTCTTGACTTGCTTTGTAGCTTTGGAGTCTCTGAGTTAGAGGTTTTGTTCTGCGTCTGCTCATGAAGATGAGTCAAGCTTAGGGCAGTGGGTGGGATGGCTGCCTTGTTGAACTTCCCTGAGGTCAACGCACTTGCATCAGGGCTCTCTGTATTGCTAGTGACACTCAAGGCTGTACCTGGGACTGCACTGTCTCTCCCCAACCCCTTTGGCACTCACCACTCTGGGTTTGACTCTCAAGAAAGGAACCAACATTGAGGTCCGCTGTCCACAGTCTCTTCCTCCTGCCAGCCAAGTGTAGGATTTGCTCTTTGTCTCCTACCTCTGAGCACTGTTCTTCTGTCTGCTGGCTGTGTCGCTGATGGCATTAGGTGAAGCTGGGAGGTGGGAGCCAGGGTGGGGGTTGACTGCTGCTGTTGCGGAGTGGACTCAGACTCAGCTGCCTGTTAGCAAGTGCTGGACATGCAGCCTTACTTGTGTGAGGCTCTCATTATCCCCACTTGTAACAACTCCACTCTGATCATAAGTCTACTCTGATCATAAATACTAGGTCTACTTAGCCGCTGTGTGTCTTTGGCCATGCACTCGCTTGTATTGCATTTCTGGGGTCTCATCCTTCACCAGCTGATGCTGCTGCTGTTGAATCAGTTAATATTATAAGAAGCATTTAGAACAATGTTTGGCACCAACTGCCCACTCCAGTAATGTTAGCTGTGCTTGTTGTTGTTAGCGGCACTTTCTAAACCTTAGCTGGATGAAATTCTTGATTGTTCTTATCTTGGCATCCAAATATGCTCCTCTACTGCTCTTCTCTTGTGAGTAGCTGTGGCTCCTCTAAGAGCTAATCTGATTTTCAGTCCCATCTTTTCACCTTGCAGGTCATTGATAGGTGTCCTGTGCTCAGCAAGATGTATTTTTGGACATCAAAGAGTCTTGTCCTGTTGGGGGGAAGTAACAGGCATAACTAGTACCATATGAACAGAGAAGTGACAGTGATACATGTGTAGGCCAGATGGCCCCAAGGGATTCTCCTGTCTGGGAGCAAATATGATCACATGAACCAAAGTTTTGTTAGCTGGCAGGCTCCTAGAATAACTGCAGTAGAATAAATGAATGAAATGGATGAACAGGGCATCTCACCAGGGTGCTTTCACAGAAACCAAGGCATGCCGATTTATAGTATTCTCCTCTGCTGAGAGTTCAGGGGACCCTCGTGGAAAGAAAGTAGGTCATCTGGACAGGCCCTCTGCCTACTGTGCTGGCTTCTTGAGCTCACTGCTTCTGTTCAAAGGGTTCAGAGGTCAGTTGCCAGAAATCTGTTCTAGAATTTCATGGTCAACAAGCTGTGTTTCTAGACTCTTAGACATTCAGGAGATTTGCGTGCATCCAGGATTCTTCACATGATGGCTCTCTCTTTCTCCTTGTTCCCAGATCCAGAAGATTCTTCGATATTCTAGGGCATGCTTTTCCTCATCCTGCAAAATCCTAACTAGTTCACATGTTACACAACCCCAGAACTTTTCTGTCTCCTCTCCTGCCTTCAGCTTGAAACTCCTCTTCAACATTTCACTCTGCTCCCCTTTCTTCTCAATGATGATAGGGGAGTAAAGTAAGAGCTGTCTGCTCTCCGCTCTCTGATACATCCCAGCACTCACCCTGAGAAGTTGGTATTTTCCTTTTTGATTGTTTAGCCACACTTAGTGTTTCATTTGGTTGTTTCTAGCTTTTCTTTTATGCCATGTCTTGCAGGTGGTGACTCACTGGGCTCCAACAAAATGTACTTCTCAGTAATGACAATAATGGCCGAGATAAGTACAGTGATGCTGCCGATGATAATAACACTCGTTGAACACGACCACAGTGCTGGGTGCTTTATGAGCTGTACCCCATCTTCCACAGCTCCCTCAGGGCTGAGCACACAGCAACACAGCAGACTCTCAGGGCATAATAACAATAATAGCTACTATTTATTTGGCTCTCCTCCTGGCCCGATGATTCTTCTTCCTTTGTGTTGTATCACTGTTATAATAATGCTGTAAAATAGATATCATTCTTCTTGGTTTCAGGTGAAGAAATAGGGCGCAATATAAATATGTTAAAGATTCACCCCACTCATTCATTAAACAGACACAAAGTGTTTGCTAAGTGTCTGGCCAACTACTCAGTGCCAGGAACCTCAAAGATCTCTGCTCTCAAGGGAGTTTCAGTCCCTTTGAAGGGGTGGGGGGAGGGCAACAGACCAGTGGCAGTGAGTTTCTGGAATTATCTTATGCCCTGGTTGGTTCTGGGCTCCTGTCTTCCTTTACTTTTCAGATAGACACTTTCATTCTTTATCCCAAGCATCATAAGTACCTTTTGTGTCCAGCCACAACACTGTTAATTAAAGTCCTCAGTTCTTTTTTTTTTTTAAAGATTTATTTATTTATGCATACAGAACTGGGGTATAGGCCAGAGGTGCAGGGGCGGTGAGAAGATTCACCAGAGACAGAGTGGGGAGCAAGACAGGCAGATTGATAAGGCACTCTGCTGAGGGGAGCAGCAGGCGGGTCAGGAGAAGCCATGTGGATCACATCTGGGGCAGGCGGGGACCGAACTCATGCGGAAGTGGCTTTAGCTTCTCAGCGCTGTGCTTTAACCTGCTGCGCCACCAGGGAGGGCCCTGTTCTTTTAAGATCACTTGCAATCGTGGAGTAAGTTTAAGTTTGCTGGACTTTGCTCATCCTCCTCAGCTGTATTTCTCCACAAGTTCCTACTTATATTTTCTGTTCTAGAATGCTCAGGGTATTCTAGCTGAGGGTCAGCTCTCTATCCTGTTGAGTTGTCCAGACAAAAATAAAAGAATCTCCATTTTCCTTTAAAGTCTTCCCCACTGGGTTGGAGAAGGAGCTGGCAGAGAAGAGGAAGGGGGAAAGCTCAGCAAGGCAGAAGGAGACAAACAGGTGGGCTCTGTGGAGGAGGGACACTTTTGAGGCAAGCCAGTGGCCCTCGGTGCTGGCAATGGAGACTGCTTTTGACTTACACACCGGGACTCTCACTTAAACTGACTGAAACAATACCAGCCTTCTTCTGCTTTCCATGACCGGAAGCCTACCCTGAGCCATTTTGAGGGTTGATGTTTTTTCCTTGTATCAACTTTGTTCTCCAGCTAGTGCTATCTTGATTTTGAGATGGTCTCTTAAAGCGATGAAGTGATGGGCTTCTTTTCAGGTCCAGTCTCATCTCATGGCTCCCAGTTGAGAGAAAGAAAACTTCCTAGAAGCAATCCTGGCTTGGCTCATTGGTCAAGCTGAGTCACCTGCCTCCAGGCAGTTTGGGTGAAATTACATCTGCTGAAGGGGAATGGATTTGGGGAAGCAGCACCATGCCCATAACAGAATCACACGTCCCAGACGTAATCAAAGTGAATAAACCAGCACTGTGAGGGCGCACAGCTCGGGGTCACATGCAGAGCTGGCAGCTTTTAGCAAGTAATTGAAGATGCCCAGTTCAGTCTGCATTTCAGATAAACCACCGATAGCTTTTATGTACAAACATGTCTCCTGAAATGTTTACTTCATTTTCCTGCATTATTAAATAAATCATGCCTCATTATTTGGTACAAAATGGTGTGTTTTTTTGGCAGTGGAACATAGAAGATTGGAGGGGCTCACAGTAGGCTAAAGACTTAGACCTAAGATCAAGTCTTACTCCTGCTTTACTTGTATGAGGACAATGTGGACTGATTCAGAAGTGGAGGAGGGCTGGGGCCTCTGTGCCACACCTGCTGTGGCTCCTGGTGGCAGGATGCAGGAGAGCAGGGGTTGGCACCTCTCTCTCAGGACTTCGCAGACCCTGACCTGTCTTCTCTTTCCAGGGCCCCGACGGCTGTGGGCAGGCTCTGCTGAAGATTGGGATCAACATGATGGCCTTGCCTGGGGGTCACTCCCTGGATGTCGCCCCACTGCCTGGTCAGCCGTAAGTCTCATCTCTGGTTCTCAGGACCAGGCCTGCCCTGTCTTGACTTTTCAGAATCCTGAAGCCTCCGGTAACCCCACGTCTCCACTCACTGACTTGGAGAGGGTGCTTAGGACAATGTATTGGGGGTATCACATTCACTCAGAACACCCTGGTGAGGTGGGCTCTGGGGTGTGGAGGAGTCAGGCACATCCTGTTCCCGAAGGATCTGCGGTCCAACATCCAGGTGGACAATGAAGCAAAGTGTCAGGCTTAGTTAGGGAGCCTCCGGAGGGGCTCCACAGCCTGGACGGAGAAGCTCTGGCTACCGAGGGGCCCTGAAGGTGTTCGTGAACACCTCAGGTGCCTCCTCTTTCCTCCAGAGCAGCAGGGGGCAGTGAGCTGCCAGCTGATCCTTCAGGAGTCCTTGTCTGAGTGGACAGTGTGGGAGGGGAGGGGGAATGTGTGAGCAGAAGGAATAGTCCAGGCGAGAGGTGAGAAGGAGATTCGGGTCACTCTCTGCAAGTGACCTTACTAAGAAAATAAATCACAGACAGACTGACATTTCCAGAAGCCTAATATATTCAAAAAAAGAGGAATTGTTTTTGATGAGATGGGCTGTCCATCTTCCCTGACTCTGTCCTGCCCAGGTATTTGGTTGGGAAGTGTGTAGCCAGAGGGGCAGTGGCAGCTCTGGCAAAGGCTCTGGGACACCCCTGCAGAGTTTAGGGATGGGCACCCCAAGGCCATTGGGGGGTGGGAAGCTGTGGTCATAGAGGTGAGGAGCCCAGTCTTCCTTAACTTGATTCTTGGTTCTGATACTTATTTACTGTGTCCTGATACCTCAGTTTCTTCAACTGTGGAATGGAGACATTTGTGTTTACACCTCTGGGTAGCTCTAGGAATTTAAGAGCATGTCTGTAAAGCACCTGCCTGAACAAAAGAATAGCTCAGTTGGTGTTAAGTTCTTTAGAACTAGAATAGTTCCCTAGACTAGACAATCTAGGACCAAGCTAACCCATTCCTGGTACTCTTTTGGCCTCTGGGAAATACTGATCTCTCTTGTTCCCACTTCCAACCTCCACAGAACTTTTAAGCATAATAAAAAGATGAAATTGCATAAAAATGAGTTATAAGTCAGATAATTATTCCTTTGGAGGCAGAAGATGGTTTTTAAGTGGTCCCGTGCAGCAAGTACCTGGGGAGGAAAACCTTAGAGTAACACGGCCCTGAGAGACCTGGATGGTCATAGACACTCCACCTGAGAAAATGCTTGGAACTCCTCAGTGTTGCAATTCTGATGGGGCAGGTGGGCTGCAGAGGGAAGGCGGTATGTCCTTTACACCACCACATCTGGCATTGGCAGGCCTTCCTGGAACAGGATGGGAATATAAGTTACCAGTCTGTGAGGCATGTGTGTTCAGGGGCATGTGTGGGGGCCACCTTCACAGAGGAGGCTGGCGTGTATTTACAGGATGTCAGAGAGGTTAATTTGTCCAATCTGATATTGCATTATGGACAGACAATAGCAGTCACCTCTGCTTTCCTCTTGTTCCAAGCTGCAGAAGTGCTTCTAGAAGGGAATAACACCGTGGTTATTGTCCACAGATAAATAATTAATGCTGGATAATTGACTTCTCTCTGTTGTGTTTCACTGAAACTGAATTTCACTCTGTAGTACCATTGTTCACTTCAATGTACAAAATAAATTCTGCCCGCGTGCGTGGGATCATCCAGCACCCTTGGGTGACTCATATGGGTTAGACCCTTGTTTGAGACTCTTATGAGTGAATAGCATCAGAAGGACCTTTCTAGGTGTGGGTTTTTGAAGGAGAACAGGGCAGGGGCAGCTGTGCTGGGATCCCACGCTGAATTGATGTGGCAATAAGAGACATGAGACAGGGTTCTCGACTGTAATTGAATCTGAATCTCCTGAGAAGCTTTCGTAATTAAAAATAATCAAATAAATGAGCCCCAAACAAAATCATACTCTTGGAAACTTTAATGTGGGCATAAGTGGCTGAAAGCATATAGGTTTGCTTTGGAGTTGGGCTCAAATCCCCTCTCTGCTTTTTATTAATCATACCACTTTGGGTGCTGCTTCAACTGTATAACATCAGTTTTATCTGAGTAGCAGCAACTGCTGTTTTTAAAGGTTGTGTTTGCTCCAGGGTCCTAGAAGAAGGCCTCTCCAGGGCCTGGGACACTTCGGGGTGCACAGCCCACTTCTCACTAGGCTGTGGCAATAATGTGAACAAAACCTTCCTGCCTCCCGCATTAGTAAACACTCTCAGTTGGGCAAGTTGGGAACCAAGTACTTCCCTGGAGGTTCAAGAGCATATTGGTGGCAGAAAAGGGGGGCAGGAGATCAGCTCTCTGGAGAGCGGGAGGTCTTTATCTTCCTCTTGGTCTCTGGGCTCCCTCTTGGCACCTGGTGCTGAGCCCTCTGCTGGCTCTAGGCGTGGTGGTGCTGGGATTTAGCCATGGTCGAGGAGGTCCCCAGCTACATTCTCAGCTTGCGCCCTCCACCATCAGACTTGCCACATTTCCTACAGGGACCCTTATACGGGTCCTTTGATTGAATTGTCCCCGTGGCTAGGTTCCTGTGGGGTGAGTTAGAGGCCAGTCTGAGGGGTACACAGGGCCGTGTCCAGATGGCTCCCCACCTCCCTGCCTTCTTCCTACTATTCCTCTTACCCACTTTGACTTTTTTTTCTGAGTTCCTGCCAGGAAAGGGGGATACTGATCAATGATCTGGTTTTCCTAACTCCCAGAAAGAGTTGGTTCACTCTCATCCAGCCCTTGCTGAACTGAATGCTTCTTACATAGTAACCCAGCCTGCACAGCAGCCATCCGAATACTTAGCTCTGTTTTGCAAATGAGAGGTCACCCACAACCTTTGAGATGGAGTTTAGAGTTTGGGGTGGTTTTAGGAAGTGCTTTTGGGACAGCACCTATGGAAGGGGAGGAAGGAATCAGAGCTGGTTTTCACTGGCCACAGTGGCCGGCATCTTTATGTCCTGCCTTGTCCTACCATTGCAGCAGGAGGCACGAGGCAGGCACGGCCCCAGCTGAGAAGCCACTGAGGCGGTGTCTGGAGGGACTGATGGCTAGAGGCGGTGAGTCCTTCCTTCGGGCAAGTGTCAGTGGTGAGTCCTGACAGCAACTATGAGGGAACTGAGGTTTGAGGAGGTGGTATGACTTGCCCAAAGACAGAGCTGGTGAGGAACAGAACTTGGATACTCGTCCCCAGATGGTACTTGGAACCGAGCGCCGGCCGGTACTCTCTGCAGTCGGTCTTTCCCACCGTGCTCATGGGGCCCTCACCAACATTCCTCTACAAATACGCACTGAGTGCTGGCATGTGTCTTGTCTGGTGGATGTGAGCTTCAGGACATGCTGGTGACAGAAGCTGGCATTGTTCCTTCCCTCATGGAGTCACCATATTAGACCTGGGCTTATTGCAGGTATCCAGATTTTTCTGAGACCTGAGATCTTTCCTTGTGAGTGAAGCAATGTCCTCACTTGGTTTTTGCTCAGCTTTGGAGTCTGAAAAGAACCAGAGATGGTGGGGGTCTGACCCAGCTACCTCCTGGGTCACCCCTGGCCTGCTGGTGAGGAGCCTCCTGGTTCCCCTGACTCAAGGGGACTGTCCAAACCTGTCCAAGTAGATAATGCCTTGCGTGTGTGCATTCCTGGTCTGTGGCAGGTTTTCTGCTATTGGGCTGTTTTCCTTGCCTGCGGTGAAATGTGCAGACGTGTAATTGTCAGGGGGATAATTGGACATTTTTACTGTTGTTTTAACTGAAAGAGGTCAGTCAAAGCTAGAATCAAATTCCCTCCCTTCTCCCATGAGAAATCCCCAGAAACATAGGGCATGACCTTGTAAAGGCAGAGGGACAGTGATTCAACAATTCTTTTTCAAGAAGAGAGGTTGTGTTTAAATTCCCATACAATACCAGGACCAGGATCATAGAGGCATTGAATGCTGTTGCTGGAAATTTCCTCAGAACTCATTTATGCATTCATGAGAAGATTCCTAAGCCCTCTGGAGCAGGATGGAGCACACTAACCCTCGAGGTCCCTTCTGGAGCTGTGTGGCATCCTGCCTTTCTTGGGCTGTCTTTCTACAGCCCGTCCTCATACCCAACTTCCAATTCAATCCTAAAAAATCTGTGTCTTCGTCCCAATGGATTCTCAATTAACACTAAACTGTAATAGACATCAGAGTCATCTGTTCATTTATTCATTTGAAGGAGGTGTTCTTTAGACTAAGAACTTACTTTGGCCCAGCTCTGGCTTGGATGACAGTGATTTATATAAATGTTGTCTTTTCACAATCATAAATGGTAATCGATGAAACACATAGTGAAAGTCCTAAAAGCTGAATTCACACTGAGTCATATTTGTGCTCCTCACTATGATTAAAATGCACACAGTAGGAGCTCAGTATGTGGTTATTGAATGATAAACATTTCAGAAATACTTGCTGAATGAGTGGCAAATGGTTGAGGAGTCTCAGGTGACTGAGAAATACAGTAAATTTTGTTCTTCAAGACATTCTTCTGTCCCCAGCATGCCATTCTTATTCTTTTTAGTAGAAAACTGATGCTTGGAGGAAGAGGGTAAATTAGAGTTTCATTTTGATTAATATAAATACTCTTTTTGAGAGGAAGCCAAAGGTTTAATTGGTTGATGGAGTTAGAGAATTGGAGAGACTTTTCTTTTTCCACCTAAAGAATAGAATATCAGAAATATTTTTAGTTTTAGCTTAAAGTTCATTGGAAAAAAAAGTCTTTTCAGTTTCATCATTAAATCTCCTGCATAAGAGCACAGAGCAGTGGGAAGTATGAACTGGGAACCAGAGGCAGGTCTGCCTCCCTCCCTCTGTGATTCCTCCACCTCGCCCTTCCCCCATCCTCCTTTCCTCTCTAGCTCTGTCTCTGCACTAACCCATAGTGTGTTCTTGGACAACTCTTTTATCTCTCTGAGCTTTAGTTTCTTCATCTGATGATGAGAAG